ACATAGGAAAGGAAATGAAATTGAAGTCCAGTCTAAAGAGCCAATACTCTATAACAAAATTTTCCAAAAAGAAAATAATGGAGAGAAAGAAGTATCCAAGAAATAATGTACCAAAAAGAGTTTTAAAAAACTTACCTCTTACACTCCCTTTCTGAGAAAGCTACTAGATGATTTGTTCCAAAAAAGTTAGGGAGTCAAATCAAGAAAGGTTATATGGGATACAGGAGATAGGAGACCCATGACAGGGGAAAGGTGGAGATTATACTCTGGATAATGATATAGAAAGTATTTTTGGGTAATATCTGTGTGGCTGGCAGAGGATAACTAGTCCATGTTGAAAAAGGTTAGAAGGCTCCAAAGGTGACTTTTTCAGGAATATAAAATTGTCAAAATGTCTTATGTGTGTGAATATCTTGAGAGTAGATATAGACAAATAGCTAAGTGTTTGCTATATAATGAGTTATGTGTATATAGAAAACTAAACACTTAAAACAAAAGATAAGTTCTAATTCTAGGGAAACAAAGATTTGTGTAGTAAAGGAATTATACTAGAGGCCCGGTGCATGTATTTGTGCACTGGTGGGCTCCCTTGGCCTGGCCTGCACCCTCTCACAATCCAGTACCCCTCGGGGGATGTCAAAGGCCCGGTGTGTGAATTCGGCCCTATCCCCACAGACCAGGCCGAGGGACCCCACAGGTGCACCGGGCCTCTAGTATGCATATAAGATCTTTGGTTAATCTCTTCCCGCCCTTCTTTGTCCCCCTTTCCCTCTGAGATTCATCAGTCTATTCCATGTTTCCATGTCTGTGCGTTGAGTGTCTGCTCCCTGGTGGTCAGTAGATGTCATAGCTATTGGTTGAATGGTTGAATGGTCATGTAGGCTTTTATATATATACTAGAGGCCCAGTGTGTGCACCGTGGGGGGGGGGAGTGTCCCTCAGCCAGGCCTGTGACCTCTTGCAGACTGGGAGCCCTCAGGCGTTGACCCCCATCACTCTCCAATCGCAGGATCGGCCCCTTGCCCAGGCCTGACACCTCTAACAGAGGTGTCAGGCCTGGGCAGGGGTCCCTCATTTCCCCCCATCACTGGTTCTGCCCCGAGCCCAGGCCTGATGCCTCTGGCTCAGGCGTCAGGCCTGGGCAGGGGACCCCCAGACCCCTCCGATTGCTGGCTCTGCCCACTGCCCAGGC